GGTCCCCCAGAGCCTTCTCTTCTCCAGGCTGAACACCCCCAACTCTCTCAGCCTGTCCTCACAGGGGAGCTGCTCCAGCCCCCTGAGCACCTTTGTGGCCTCCTCTGGACCCACTCGAGCAGGTCCCTGTCTTTCCTATGTTGAGGGCCCCAGAGCTGGACACAGCACTGCAGGTGGGGTCTCACCAGAGCAGAGTAGAGGCAGAGAATCCCTCCCTCCACCTGCTGGCCATGCTGCTCTTGATGCAGCCCAGGATGCCACTGGCTTTCTGGGCTGCAGGCGCATATTGCTGGCTCAGATTCAGTTTTTCATCCACCAATACTCCTAAGTCCTTCTCCACAGGGCTGCTCGATCCACTCATCACTCAGTCTGTACCTGTTCTTGGGGTGGCCCCAACCCAGATACAGGACCTTGCACTTGTCCTTGTTGAACCTCATGAGGTTGCACGGGTCCACCTCTTAAGCCTATATTGGAGTTTTCTCCAACTGCAATGTCAGGCCACATGTCTGGGATTATGAGCACAGCTGGAGTTTGCCCCCATCATCTTCAGGCCACTCCATCCCCAGCTCCTTTCATTCCTACATATGTAATCATTCCCCAGAAGCTGCAATAAATGGTTTTAGAGATGACTACGCACGTATGGTATAAGCAGGTAAATTTGAGCTTGTCCTCATCAGCTCTGACTTTACTCCATCCAGATAATTCAGACCTCAGCCTCTGCTCTTCTTCAAGGGGCTGGCACAGAGTTTTCCAGCCAGCTCCAAGGAATATCATCTTGGTGCAAAGGTCTGCCATCAGCAAATAAGTGAAGCCAGCTGATTGTCACTTGTAAACTTGCTGCCCCAGGGCCTCATTTCCAGAGGGGAAGAGAAATTTAGAAGCCCATAAACTTCAAGCTGCTATAGCAGGGATTTATCTCCAAATGCTCCACAAGGCTACAGCTGAAAATGAGGTCAGAAGGAAGAACCATGCTCAGGTCAAACCCCCAACAAGTGAAGTTTCTGAATCCAGAGTCCTCACACAGCTCCCACACATCTTCTACTGATAAACCACCAGGCAAATAATCCAGGCGGGACAGTTACAGGCTTGTTTTTATTAAAAGACATCTTCAGAAAAGATATTTTAGTACAAAAAAAAGTTTAAAATACACAAACTACAGTTGCTTTTTTTTTCCAGCATCAACATTTATAAATTACACCACATCGTTATTAACACTGCATTTAAATATGGAAACAAATTAAACCAGGAAATCCATCAACAAGATCCAACATCCTACAAATGACTATTTACAGTATTTAGCAGCTAGGAGCTCTAGCACAGTAGTCAATATGACTTCAATAGGGCAGGATGCTTGGGAAGCCCCAAGACGGCAGCTTGGCCCATAACGGTTTTTGGGGACCTGTTTTGCCCGCCTCTCCTCAGACCCTGACCCTGAAGGCAGAGGTGATGCTGTACGGCAGGGTATGCACCCGACAAGGCAGCGTGGCTCTTGCAGAGGAAAAACCCTGTGGTCCCCTGGCCCTTAAGAGCAAGTTTTGGGGCGTGCACACAGGACCATGCTATTCACTCTGCAAAGTACAGGGAGTCTGCTGGGAGAAGGCAGCCCTCCAGGCTTCAGGGGGATTTACAGCTGACAGCAGGGCTGGTCCTGCCCAGGGACAGTCCCTGCTCTGTACCTGTGCTGTCCTCGTGCTCCTCCTCACCACCCCCAGCAACAATGGTAGGCTCCAGGCCGAGCTTAAGACTCAGCCCTCCAGGATCTGGCCCTCATGCACGATCCCACCCAGCTCCTGGAGCTGGTTTCCCCAGCTCCCAGCAAATTCTAGCACAGCCAGAAATACAGGGCTTTGAAGCCATGGGGGCCAGGGAAGCCAAGCAAGCCTGAAGTCCCCTTCTGCACAGGGTGTCCTTCAGCCTCTCCACCAAACCCCATATTTTCAGTGGGTTGAAGTCACTGGAGCAGAGGCTGAGCATATGGAGCTGCCCAGGGCTCACTGCCCCACAGCACCAGTGGGGGAAGGAGGTTCTGGGGGCTTGCACAGGAGGGTACATAGGACATCATTTGGGAACAACAGTGAAAGACAGGACACAGCAAGGCTTCGTACCCAACACCTGGGTCCAGGGTAGTGAAACACTTCACAGGCTCCCCTCCCCCCGAGTCCCAAGCTCATCAAAACCAGCACACAAGTGTTCAGACAGGACAGAAAGCACCAGACAACTTGAACTTGCCACAGCAGCACGTGGCAGGTTGGAAGACCCTTGTGCATGCTCTGGAGGTGGATGTCCCAGCTGGTGGCTCCTCTTCTGGTTTGGGAGCTCCCATCCAGGGGTTTCAGCAACATGGAGCTGTTTTACTTACAGCGAGGAGCTGTGTCATGCCACTAAAGGGCCGCTAATCAAGAGAAATGCTCCTCTGGGGACATCCCAGGGAGGGTGGGTTTGTTTTTTGTAAACACCAGGTGGCAGAGCTCAGGTCTGTGCTCTGCAGAGAGGGTCAAGTCTCACAGAGCTTTAGGGCTCTGCTTCCAGTTCTGCAGGTTGGATTTTCATGGTGGTTGACTTCAGCGGGTAATACCTGCCTTTCCATGTCTTCCAGAAGATGCCCTGCTTGCGTTCGTGCCTCTGGCGGGGGATGGAGCGGAAGTACTTCCCGTTGAGGTTGGCATGGCCACAGGTGCTGAACCACCAGCCACCTACCAAGGCAACGCAGAGGCAGGCTTAACCCACAGCACTTCCAGACAAAAAACCAAACCCGGGTTCAAGGCGGCTGCTGCCCCCATTTTCCCCACTTTTCCAGGGCTTCAGGACCTTATAAGACACTTGAGGAGTCCCATGCACTAGGGAAACCTTGGCACACATCCTACATGACTTCAGGATGTGTCTGCAAATCCCTGCTGCTCCTTCTTGCATACAAAACTCCCTCAAACTCTTCAGCAGCCCCATCTCGGGCCTGGGGACTGGCCTCTGCTTTGCTTGAAAGGTTTCCAAGCAAGGTGGCAGCCAGCAAAGCTGTTGGGAAGAGAGATGCTTGGGCCAAGACCCAAGTCATTAAACCCTCCTGTTTTTAGCTTCCCTCCTGGTTCCCTGCACTGCTCCTCCCAAGGGTGCAGCTTTCCCAGGGAAGCAGGGGAGAAGCCTGGCTCAACACCAAAGGGGTCTAGTCCCACAGGGTCACTGTCCCACTCATGGCCACCACCAGACAGCAAAGGGCTGAAAGAAAAGTGCACGCCACTGAGAAGGAAGAGCTTGTACTGACCTGAGAGGTGTTTGGCACAGTTTGTGTCAGCTTTGAGGTCATGGTCACGATCCCGAGTGGAGAAGGGCAGCTGCCTGAAGTCCCCAATAGCATTTTCCAGCTCTCCAGAGAGAGGTCCCAGCAGGTTGAGTGTGTAGGCTGTGCTCTCACCACCAAGGCTGAAGATAAACTGAACCACCTGGGAATTTCCCTCCCAGTCTTCAAGTTCAATCAGCAGATTGTATCTTCCCTCTTGGACAAGGTGATGTATCTTCTCCAGGCCCAGCCAGAAGTCACCTGAAACAAGACACATTGCATTGGCTGCAGGGACGCAAACGTGCCACGCAAAGCAGACATGTGAACAGACTCCAGAGACAAACAGGGTCAACCCAGGACACTGCAGCATTTGAATCGCTATCTGGCACCTGCAGGACAAGGGAAGACCACCAAGGACTGGCTTACCAAGCATTGTCCCCCCTCCTCAGCCCAATGCTGTGCTCTGGCACATAGAGATCTCCAGGGGCCAGCAAGGGGGATAATTTGTGCTAAGATATCACTTATCCCACGGTAAGAAGACAGACACCATCATCTACCTACCACGAAGGTCTCCAAAGCCGTTCTTGTAGGCATCCCAGAGCTGGTCAAAGTCCACAGAGCCATCTGTGCGCCTCTGGATCACTGTCCAGCCACCTTCTGCAGGCAAGAAAAAAAAACAACAGTCATATGGGGTTACCGTTTACAAGACCACCACGCAAAGCACTGTGGGACACATCTCCACTGCTTTACCTGTGGTCATGTCACAGTAGACTTTGAAGGGCTGAGAGCCTGCAGGCTGCACCTGGAAAACACCGCTGCTTTGCTGCCCGGCCAGGAAGAGCTGGTGGCAATCCTCTGGGAGTTCTGTGAGGGGGGAAAGGAAACAGTGATTGAGGAGACGGCCCCGAGTCACACTTCATCAGCAGGTTGCTCCTACCATGGCCCCGGCACTTGCAGCCCTGGCCCCAAGCCCAGCCAGCTGTGCTCAGCCATGGCTGCAGCTCTGGACATGCACTGGAGACGATGGCCCCTGACTTCAGCATCTTTAAACGCGGTGACCCCACATCTTTCTATTTATCCAAACACAGCTCCTTGGGCTTCCATCCAAGGCAGAAGCCAGGCGTTGGGCCAGGCTGGGGTGACCTAGGCTGGAGAGCACAGCTCCCCATCGAAGAGAGACCCAAGAAACTTCCCAGCTCCCTCCACACCCACAGCAGGCAGGAGCAGCCTGTTTGGCATGGCGTAAGGGGCAAACCAGGGCCAAGCATCTCCATCCCACCCCGAGGCTGAGGCAGTCTCAAAGGGCCTCAGCAGCAGAGGGAAACCCAAAGTCCTGACGTCAGGAAGGCGCCTGAGCATCCAGCACATGACCTCTTGCTCCCGGCCACTATGGTGGCCCCAGCCAGCCAGCCCGCTGGGCAACCTGCCACCAGCAGGCACACGGCCAGGCTGGGGTGACCTTTTTGATCAAGACACACCAACCGGGGCAGGGAAGAGGTGGGTGGACCCCAGGGAGCCCCAGCTCATCGGACAAGTGGCTCGCCTGGGGTGAGGCCACCCCCATCTTGCCCCCCTCCATCCCCACGCCGGCCGGGCTCCCACTTCTCCTTCTGCCCCTGCGAGGACTTTGCCCAGAGCTGCCAGCAAAGCACCGTTTCAACAGCGCTGATAAAAGTCCACCCAGAAACCACCACCCGCCGCACTCAGGGAGAGACGGGGCCGGGGGGAACCTGTTACAAAACCCAAGTCAAAAAAGCTGCAGGAGGATGTGCGGGGACTTCAGCCCCCAGGCTGTCGGCAGTCAAGGGGCTCTTTGTCAGCCAGGACAGGTGCCCCCGTCACCCCCAGACAAAGGGGGTCTGTTCTCCCCTGCATGAGGGTGGGATGGATTTTGGTGCCTCACAGCTGCTGCCAGCACGACCCCAAGACAGACGGGTGAAGAAACCTAAAGACAAGCCCTGGGCTGTGCCAGGGTGCTGGCCACCCCACAGCCCCCCCATGGGGTCCCCCTTGCAGTAG